AAAGGGATCTACTAAAAAGAAGATGGAGAGGGAGTAAGGTAGGAGACTTGAAAAGAGTGGGAAAGGTTTGAAAACTCTGCTGAGAGTCCGGAAAAGGGAATTCACTGTTGATAAAGAAGGAATTGCCAGGCATTATTCGGAGCTTGGACAAGATTTAATATAATAAATGTGTAGAGAGAAGCTCTAAGGCACCACCATATGTGATATTTGCCACTTAACAGCCTGGCAAAAAGGCAAAAAAAAAAAATGGAGTTAGGTTAATCCCAAGTTTGAGGTTGGCAGTGCAGGTACAAGGAAAAATGAAGGGTCCAAGGATACCCAATGGTCCCTAGAGAGGGTTACAGAAGGAAAAAATAAAAACACTTATAGGACGTCTCCTAGGCCCAAGCTGTATGTATGTAAAGCGAGGGATAATTTTATAGTTAAATTTCCCTTAGGTATATCTTACATTCTGTACACCATTACTGTAGGAATGAAGGGCCTTGATAATAGCAGCAACTTATCAGGTAAAAGAAAATAACAGTATGAAATATACTTGGAGTTCTTTATCAATGTCCCATTACTTTTCCTTTTCCTTTTTTTTTAAATCCTTCACAGTAACTCTTCAAAGAAGAGATCCTTAAACTTCTCAGTGTGCAAACTGAGGTTCTTAGGAAGTTATAAGTCCATGGACACACCTATGTGTGACCAACTATGAAATTTATTCTCAATCTACTAGCCCTATGTGATAGATCATTCCATATCCCCATTTTACTGATGAAGCACAGAGGTTAAGTAATTTACTATGATCACAGAGCTAGCATGAAAACAAGTAGTGTGACTCTAAAGTATCTGTTCTTAACTCAGGGCACCACATATGGCTATGAAATTCCACTGTCTAGCAGTGCCAAGAGGGAGCAGGTAAGCACAGAAATACCATCCAAGTCCCACTTAATAATCCATGCATTCCTAGTTCAAAGTTATATCCACCTGGGTACCTTTATCTTTGCCCCAAGCACTTTCCATTTTCCAAGTTGTGTGCTCAGAAAACTAGTTCCACACAAAGAGGAAGTCTTCCTAACTGACACAAAGGTGTCATATAGTCTAGATGTGGTCCTATCTTAGCCATGACATTAAACTGACCTACTTTGTGTGGCAAGACATTTACATTTGTTTAATACAGCCAGTAAGTGGCAGAGCCAGAATTTGAGCCCAGATAGCACTAACAGAATGCAAGTACTGGTAAGGTAGAACAGAGCAGGTTTGGAGAAATAGATAAACTTAGTTTAGGGCATCTGAAAGAGTGAAATGACAAAATGGGGTCACCTGGGCCACAGCTGGGCATTGGCTTATATTTTTGTTGTACTATAACTATCAATTAGTGGTATACTTTAGTAAATAATAGCTTATTATGCAAACTCCTAACTCTCTTGCTCTGAAGTAAATTTAATTAACTCCACTATTTAAAGTCACCAATGAGTAAAACTAGTAAAACTGTAACCTCCCCCAGTAATGGGCATTAAGATTTTATAATTAACATCTTGCTCCAAGGATGAGTTTCTAGCTCTTGCATGACAAACCACTGGGACACCAAAATGAAAGGGACAAACTGTTATAATGATTCCAACCTTCCTACAATCTTCCCATGAATAACACACTCCCAGCTAAATGCCCTTTTGTTGCCTAAATCCAAGGACATTCGAAGCTTAATATTTGTGACTTGAAACTTTGTTTTACAGACCTTGGGCCACTCTCCCTGCCAAAGTAATCAACTATCTGGCTGCAGCCTCCAGAATAGCTAATTGCCATAACAACACTCCTCTCCGCCTTGTTAGATTTCACAAGAAGGTTCCTATTTCCAGCCTTCTCTAGGAAGCCTTATAAGCACACAGCTTCATTCAGTGCTAAACACTTCTTCAGTACTCAGCCCCCTCTTCAATCTTGAGGAGGTGAATCTACCCTTTTCTTCTAATTTACCTTCTAAATAAACTTTTTCTAACCTACTCCTTGTGTAATTCTTTGCATCTTTCACATGGCACCAGATCACACAACCCCACCCCAGTCAGTTTAACCTAACAGCATCCATTCATTCAACAAATATTTTTAGTGTATTCAATAGGTATCTGAACTATGCTCTATTTTGGGCATTCAAGAGGGAACCAGACCAAGTCCTTGCCCTCTGGCAACATTCATTCTAGGGTATGTTCGAAGAGACTGAAAAAGTAAACAATAAATGAGAAACAGGATGCTGTGACAAAATAACTGGAAGAATCTCTTTTATATGGGGCATTCAGGAACACAGCAAATTTGAGATGCTCAATAATAGACAGGTAGATATACAGGTCCTAATGACATGCTGTCATTATGCCTTCATGCCAGTTTCCCAGGAAACTCTGTAATCAAGAATATTTTATGATGCTGTAAGGTGAACTTCTCAACCTGGTGCTCCAGGCCCTACTCCAGTTCCACTCAACTATTTGTCCTCTTCTCATCACCACTCCCAAACACTCCCTGTCCGTTCCATTTAGGCTGATCTCCTTATTGGCCTACAACACATCAAGTTCACCCGCACCCTGTTCTTTCCCCTTCACCTATTAATCCTACACATCCTTCAAGACCAGGCTCAAGTTCCACCTTCCTCATTCTTATCCACTCAGGTTTACTGAGCACCTTTCTCCTGGGAACTGCTAGATCCCAGGCAATGAATTACCTAAAAATATAGTCTTCTGGCCTTTACTGCTGTTTCACATGTATTACAACCCAGGACTTTAACACAATCTCCTCCTAATAAGTGTGGACAGGAAGGGAAAGGGATTTGGCCCATGTCCAGAGTTCTCAGGGCCAGAAGTAGAGAAAAGTGACTCAGGCTCAGAAAGGAGCTCAAGGAGACCAAACACAGTGTCCAAAGGACACAATTCCCAAGTAGAGAGATGCAGAATCTCCACTCAAGTGGAAAGATCCCAACAACTGAGAATACAAGAAACAAGGAGGCAGTTCCAGAGGGGAACTAAGGATTCAGGTGAGATATCTAATTAAAGAGTAGAGAGCAAAGTATAAGCTTAATTTCATAGGCTGGTCCAACACAGGACAGAAGGAGTAGAGACTGGGGATAACTAGGTGCTCAGGTATCAACTGGCAGCAAAAGAAATCAGAGGAAGAATTCAGGAACCTAGAAACCAAGAATGGGTGACCAAGTTTAAGGACCTGACCTAATTCTAAGCTGTAGGTAGAGATTATCAGTGGACTTGTTTTGGGGAAACTGAAGGCCACAAACATTTATGTATACTAGTCCTTAGTGGCAGGCGCCATGTCTTATGCCTCATTTCTATCCTCCATAGCACTTAGCACAAACAAATATTTATTGATTACATAAAAAAGAATCGCAGACAGTTGTGGTATTACTCAATTGGAGGGAGGTTATGCCAAGATAACCTGAGTCATCACATAAGCAGGCTATGTATTGTGCAGATTTACAAGTCCCCATCACCTTGGCAAACAAGAGTAGTAATGTGATCTGGTGATGAACACAAGGCTAGAAATGAGGAGGTAAAACTAGACCTGCTTTGTCAGCAACCTCTTATAAGACCTTAAACAAGTCACTTCACTTCTCTGAACCTCAAGTGCCTCATCTATAAAGGGGTAAATGTAACTACTCCAATTTTTTCATAGTATCTGGAACACTCTTCTCCCAGATCTCTGCTTGACTGACTTCCTCTCTTCTTTTGAATCTTTGATCAAATCTTGTCTTCCTAATGAAGCCTATTTAATACTAATCACCCTATTTAATTCTGCCACCTGTCCATCTCACCAACCCTACCCTACACACACTGATCTACATCTTTTTCATAGTACTCCAAAGTTATTATATAACTTATTACCTTTATTGCTGCATACTAGAATGAAAGCTCCATAAAATCAAAGATCTTTGTTCTATTCATTCATATATCTCAAGTCTCCAAACGGAGTCTGGAACAGAGTAAATGTCCAATAAATATTTGTTGAACGAAAATATGAATGTATTCTCCCTGAGGCCAGGGTTTCCCTCCATGCCCTCAAGCACCCCATATACCCTGGCATCCTGCACCATAGTCTGGAGTAGGTGCTCAATAAGACCTTACTAAATTACTAATTAAATATGGGACCCACAAGGGCAAACATATCCACGGTGCTCTGAGGCCACCTGCTGGCCACTCTACTTAAGCAATTAAACTGACAGGAATTTCCAGATGTGAATGGAAAGGAATGGCGGGGAACATTTCCCCTCAGCCAGTGAAGACAATCAGGCTGCAGATAAAAACCAGAGGAAGGAGGCCAGGCTGGAAACCAGACATTTCCAAAAACTCCAGAAAGAGTTCAAAACCTCTGAAGGACCACACAGCAGGTGTTTCCCAGAACTCACTTCCGACTTAACAACAATAACAGTAAGTCCCATGCACTGCGCTCTTAGGTGTCGGGAACGGCTTTCATCACTTCCCTACATTATTTCACTTAATCCTCACATCAACCCGTTGATGTAAAGACCACCATTTAAGAGATGAAGAATGTGTCCTTTTGAAATAAGTGTTTTTATTCAAGTGCAGCTGTGAAACAAGGTGCGACATTTCATAAAATGTCAAGGCCTGGGGAGCGCATGACTTCTGGAGAGCGCCAAGGCGCAGGTGCGGCCGGGTGTGGCACACTTGAAGGGGACCCGCCACGCCCCGGAGTGCCGACCTACCACCCCTCCCCTGGAGCCAAGTACAACCTCGGTCCTGGGCTCTGGATCCCAAAGTCCGCTCCGTGTCATTCGGATCGCACCCGAAGCAAGAGGGCGTAGTCTGCCGCCCCAGAAGGCCACGAGCCACCCTACGCCCGGGCGCGCGCCGGGACCCTCAGTTCCCCAGGGTCCTTTCCGGCTGGAGTCTTCGGGGTGCGGGTCCCGGAAGTGCAGCCCCTCCGGCCGGAAGTGGCTTTCTCTACTTCCCTCAGCGCCATGTGAGGTTCTCCTTGCCGGTTCCCGGTGCTCGAGCTTGTTCCTCTAGCAGATCCCGAACGCATTGCTCCGGGTGGACTGAAAGGCTACGAGAGGGGCAGGCCGACGGACCTGCCACCCCGCCACGCCGCGGCTCCCCCACCTCTGCTCTCAGGATCCGCCGTGCTCCGGCAGGACGTTCGGGCGGTACCTCCGCGCCGAGGTGCGGCCCTAGACGTGTCCCCCGAGTCGGACAGCCCCGTGCGCGTGGCCGAGGAGAGGGCCTCGGCGTGCAGGACCCCGCTCTGGGCTCCACGGGATCCAGGGATTGTCGGAGCTCTCCGCAGCCCCTCCTGGAGGCGCAGCGCCGTGCCGGCACCCCATGGGATAAGGCCCAGGGTTCTGCCCAGTGCTGGGGCTAGGCCTGGAAAATATTTTCCTCAACCTCCGCACTCATAGATAAGGGCTTCAGGTGCAATGGCGCCCCCTGGTGGTCAGTAGGAGCCGTGGGCACCTTGGTCCATCCGGGCAACCTCGGCTGCTTTGTTTCCCAGTTGGGATACCAAGATGGTTTTAGGTGCTACACGCACTTTGTTTTGTTTTGTTGTTCTTTTAGAGACTCCAGCCAGTCACCCAGACTGGAGTGCAGTGGCGCGATCATAGCTCACTGCAACCTCCAGGTGATCCTCCCACTTCAGACTTCCAAGTAACTAGGACTACAGAGGCACGCCACCATGGCTAATTTGTTGTAGTTGTTGTTGTTCTTGTTGTTGTTTTCGTAGATAAAGAGCCTCGCTATGTTGCCCAAGCTGGTCTTGAACTCCTGGCCTCAAGCAATCCTGCCTTGGCCTCCCAAAATGTTGGGATTACAGATGTGAGCTACTGCAACCAAAATACGAGCACTTTTTTAAAAGATGTTTAAGAGTATTTCTTATGTGTGTTAGAAAAGACTACCAGCACAACAAACCTGTTAACAGTTATTTTAGTACAAGACTAGATTTGTAAGTGAGTAGTTAACATTGGTTTAAAGAAAATATTAAATACTTAATACACAGACATTGCAAAGTCATGAAGGTGATACTCAAATGACTGAAGTCAGAGAAAACTGTCAGTCTCACAAAGTCAAGGTAATAAGTGGGCGTGATGGTTAATTTTATGTGTGAGCTTGGCGCGTATTTTTTGAATGGAATTAAACATTTCAATCAGCAAACATTAGGTAAAGAAGATTTCCCTCCCTAATGCGGGTGGGCCTCATCCAATCGGTGCATGGCCTGAATAAAACAAAATGACTGGCCTCCCTGAGCAAAAGACAATTCTCCAGCAGAATGCCTTGAGACTTCTGTATCATCTGCTCTCCCAAGTCTCTAACCAGTGGGCCCACACTGCAGATTTGCACTTGCCAACTCCCATAATCACATCAGCCAATTCCTTATAATAAATCTCTTTTAGCCAGGCTCAGTGGCTCAGCCTGTATTCCCCGTGTTTTGGGAGGCTGAGGTGAGTGGATTGCCTGAGCCCACAGGTTCGAGACCTGCCTGGGCAACTTGGCGAGAGCTCATCTCTACAATAAATCAAAAATTAGCCGGGTGTGGTAGCACGTGCCTGTAATTCCACCTATTCGGAAGGCTGAGGCAGAAGGATCCCCGGAGCCCAGCAGGTCGAGGCTGCAGTGGCCGCTTCCGGTCTGGGCGACAGAGTGAGACTCCAACTCAAAAAAATAAAAAATACATACATAAATAAATCTCTTTCTATAAATACACTTCTTGGTTCTGTTTCTCTGGGAAGTCCTAACTAATACAGTGGGTGATTGCAAAGAGTCCTTCCCTTTCTGACACTGAGTGGAGCAGGAGACAGAGCACTTGACTCCAATATCTGATGCTCCAAAGTGCTGAGGGCATCACCCTTGGCCCTATTCACTGGACACACTGCCCTAGCTTCACTGCTTCTCTCCCCCTTCCCCTTTCCAGTAGGTCCCTGGGATGCCAGGTCCTAAAATGTTACCACTGCTCACTTTTTGGAAGAGAACAACGTAGTAGGATGTAAATAGAGCTCTAGACCCAAACCAGAATATCTGGTGCCCTGGCTCAGCTCCCTCAAAGCTGACAAAGTTGGCTTCTCAAAATCCCTTTCCTTCTCTGGAGTTCTATTGCATCAGTGTGGTGAGAGGACTTGATTAGATGATGTCTAAGGCCTTTTCTGGAGGTGAGCACCTTTTCTCCACTCCTGGCCTCTTTTCACCCCTTTCTTCTCTTTGGCCCTGAGATGGTAAAAGGACTTAACTGATTGGTAAATTTTGTAAGAATAATTGGTTTAGCTTCGCTCTGCTTCTATTTGGGAACTGTAGAGGTCCTTCATACCTTAACAAGGACATTCTCCTGTGCAGGGAGGCCTGCCTCAACCCAGGCTTGTCATGATTGAGTGGGTGAGTCTGCCTTATTCTTAGGTCTAGCATGATCAAACCCCAGCTAACAGACCCAGAGCTACTGCCTGTTACTTAACCATGCAACAAAGATGACATTTTGGCCACCATATTCTCTTCCTATTTTTCAACCTTTTTCTGAGCAAGGACAGGGAACTATAACAATGCTATTTATTGATACTCCCTTGCAGAACTCAAAAATTCTTTCTAGTCCCTTCTAGAACTTATATTAAGTAAGACATAAAAACATCTAATGAATAAATTAGCACTAAAAAGTCAATACAATCCTTCATAGGACATCTATACCTTAAAAAGCACTATAGGAAACTGAGAACGGGCAATTCTTTAGGGCAAACATTATGCAACTATATTCTCTCAGTGGAATATATATTTTGGAATAAGACCTTTTTCCAGATCCCTCCAATAACACATGTCAGTCAATCAGTCAAGCGTTGTTAAGAAAATTAAAAGTAGAGATTATGGAGTCTTGGTTCAAATCTTGCCTATGTCCTTTACTAGCTGTGTGGCCTTGGTTATGTTATCTAACCTCACTGTGCCCTAGTTTTTTCAGCTAGAAAATGAGGATAGCAGTAGGAACTTGAAAGACAGTAAGTGCCATAAAACTTCTGTTACGTGTCAGACACTGTGTTAATCCTAGATCCCCAAGCACTTTACCTTTAGAATAAAACCTATAGAACCAAGAAAGGAACTTGATTACAGAGATTATGGAAAAAGAACAATTAAATGTGAATATCTGGGCCAGCAAGAACCAAAAATTTTCTGGACAAACATAACTCAGAAACAAGGAACATCTTCCCAAGATAAGCCCTTCAGACTGATATCAGATTGGATAGCTCAGCTTCCAAACCCAGGTGCAGGTCTTCTGGGCACATGAGACCCACCTAAACAAGGTATACAGGACATTGCTCCCTAATAATGCTGGCTGTAATTCCTCCAATCTGGCACCAGGTGTCCACAGATGCTCACACTTGCCCTCTGGTTCCCTAGTCAACAAATAATGAGAGCTGGCCTTGAAAGCTGGGCTCGGTGGTTCAGCCTGTAATCCCACGCTTTGGGAGGCTGAGGTGAGTGGATTGCCTGAGCCCGCAGATTCGAGACCCGCCTGGGCAACTTGGCGAGACTTCATCTGTACAATAAATCAAAAAATTAGCTGGGCATGGTAGCACGCGCCTGTAGTTCTAGCTACTTGGAAGGCTGAGGCAGAAGGATCACTGGAGGCCAGCAGGTCGAGGCTGCGGTGGCCGGAAGCGGCCACTGCACTCCAGTCTGGGTGACAGAGTGAGACTCCAACTCAAAAAAAAGAAAGAAAAAAAAAAGACACAACTAGTTCGAGGGCAGTTTGTCAGTGATGAACCCTTGCACTAGAACCCAGATTTGTGTGACTGGTTAGTACTCGACTCCAGCTCCAGAGTGCTCCAGGGATAGACAACACATAGTTCAAAGAAAGAATCTTAGGCCCAGGAGGAGCCTGAGAAGCCATCATCCATCCCTCTACCTCCTCAAAGGACACCATTTAGGCCACCCCTGCCAAAGAAGACTCTTCTAGTCCACCAGAAAAGGAATTTAAATTGTCCTCTTGGTCTCCCTAAGTCTCCACTCCAGGTCTGACACTTTTCATTGCTGAGAAGTTATTCTTGGCTCTGCCTTCAGATGTCAGTGCTGACATTCTCCGCTTATACCTGCAGGCCCAGACATGTTTCCTCCTTTTGCCTTTAATGTCCCTGTCCCTATGAGCACAGAAGCACGTTGGGCACTGTCCAGTTTAGAACAGGGGTCCCAACTGCAAATATCCACCACGTCTCCCTTCTTAGTTCCAGCTGTTGACAAACTATAGGTAACTACATACATCTTTTTTTCTTGGGAAACAGTACTGGTAGCTCAGACTTCATCATTAGCCAGCACACATGTTCAGTTTGCACTGTGGCTGTTTATGTGTTGTCTTGCTTACCAAAGGGCACACTACCACCACGATTATATCATCTCTCCTTGAGAGAAGGGACCCTGGCTTTCCTCATAGCACTACACGTGGCAGCCTACCCAGTGGATGCCTGTTGAATTGGTAACACACTTCAGAGGCTTGTGTACATTCTGGATATGGGGTTTCGTGCCCATGTTAGAGTGTTGTCTCTCTGCCCTATGGAACCGCTGCTCTGGAAAATGGCACATGCCCCTCCAGGGCAGCACTGGCTCTGGTCTTAGACACACATATGTAGTATAATGCCTGGCACAGGGACCTGGCTCAGGCAAACAAATCTGAGAAAGCAAAGGGAGACATGGGCACAGAAACTTCCCCTGCCTCTACAGCTGCCCCAGGGACTCATTGGCTGCCCTGCTCATCTCTCTTCTTCCCCTTTTGTTCCCTCCCATCTTTCTATCTCTCCTTCTCTCTCTGGTCTTCCCCCTCTTTGCTCCTTTTGCTCTTTCTCCTTACTCTCTCCTCTCCTCTCCACTACCCCCACCCCATGTTTCCTTTTCCATATCCCAGCATCGAATGAACAAAAGCAGAGCTCCATTCCTAAGACTCAGGGTCCTGCTAAAGGAACAGCTCAAAAGCAGTGGTGTTTGAAGTCCTCTGTGCTAAAGGACTCTGCACCAATGAGGACCCCTGCTCTTTATTTTCTGTACCTGTCTGATTTTATTAGCATACGTTGTTCAATAAGTCTCTTGCCCCCGGATGCTGGCTTCCATTGTCCTTGGCACCAAGCCTCCTAAAATAGGGCCAACCCCACCTTGTTCCATGGGCGCCCACCTTGCCACTTACAGGCCATTCCAGTTCAGTCAAAAAGCCTTGGAGCCCAAACTTCCTATAGAGGGCAGTCAGAACACCACCAGGCCCCAGGCCCACTTGACAAGCCACTAAGGGCCTGCTGCATACACATGCGGTTCAATGGCAGTACAGCAGCTTCACCACCAGCCAAAGAGAAGCAAACGTTCAACCCTGAAGTAGGCTTATGCCCAAGGAGCACACAGTCTTGCCAGTTCTGATGCCCCAGTCTCAGTCCAACACATCTTCACTAAG